TCTATTATCTCACACCATTCCTTGACCCCCATATCCCTGAATCTTGGATATTGGAGAAACAACCATATATCAGATGCTGATTCAGAGCATATACAGACTTCCAGAGAACGCTGCCTCAGCCTGCAAAGTTTTGACACCCAGCTGGTGCTATCACTGAGTCTTCAAAGTGTCATTCCATCATTTTACCAGGCCAACTGCTTCAGGATGATGGGAAACATAATATGACCAGTGAATTGCATCAGCATGGACCCACTGTTGCACTTACTTTGCTGTGAAGTGAGTTCCCTGATCAGAGGTAATGCTGTGAGGAATACCGTGACAGTGGATAAGGCATTCTGTAAGTCCATGGATGGTAGTTTTATCAGCTTTGCATGTACGGAAAGTAAATCCACATCCAGAATTTCTATTCTAGTAAGATTAAGATGCTGCCTCTTCCATGATGGTCCAATGTAACCAACATGCTTCCAGGTAGCTGGCTCAACACTCCAGGGAATGGTGCTATACTGGGGAGTTCACTGTTTGTTTCTGTTGCTGGCAGACTGAGCACTCAGCAATGGCCATAGCCAGGTCAGCTTTGGTGAGTGGAAGTCCATGTTGCTGATCACAGGCATAATCTCCATCCCTGGCAAAATGACCATTTTGTTCACAAGCCCATTGGACAATGACCGGGGTGGCTGGGGAAAAAAGTCATTAGCCACAGAACAGGCCATTCCATCTACTTATTAAAATCCTTTGCTGAGGTCTCCCATTTATATGGGACATGGGTATCTTCAATTTTTTTGCCCTGATTCAGAGAGGTCTACCCACCTATCTCTTCCCCAGATTTCACTGCCCAAATTTCCAATCATCTTCCTTCCACTATAATGCCACACACTGTATCCATTTCCACACTTGTTCCCCGGATTTGTCTGTGTAAGTTAGAAAACTCAAGTAGTTCTTTTGGACTGTAGCACCCCTTCCTCATGGGTCACACTCTGCACTGCATTTTTAGGAGCCTGCTAGGACTTGAGTCCAGTGATAGGTCTGCGAACAAAAGGGGGTGGTTGTGGGGGCTTCTATTGCCTTGCATGGCCACTGCCTCAACGGAGGTCATTACGGTTTCTTTAGGCAATGCATAGTAAATTCCATAAGATGGGAATATAAAGGCTGATGCCACTGTGGGTGGGGATGCCACTGCCACGAGGAGTGGAAAGGCCACTTCTGCTGATGAGGCTGCTTCCACTGATAAGGAAGACTCAGAAGTTAGGAGCTCAATGTCCCAGCTACATCAGAGCCTTCCCACTTGTCCCCATGCCATCTTACAGGATCCCATTCTTTCCCAATCAATGCCCTCACTCTTTTTTTTTTTTAAGATTTTATTTATTTGACAGAGACAGAGCGAGAGAGGGAACACAAGTAGGGGGAGTGGGAGAGGGAGAAGCAGGCTTCCCGCAGAACAGGGAGCCTGATGTGGGGCTTGATCCCTGGACTCTGGGATCATGACCTGAGCTGAAGGCAGACACTTAACGAATGAGCCACCCAGGTGCCCCATCAATGCCCTCACTTTAATAGCATTTTAACACCAATTAACTATTCAGCTAAAATTTTTCCAAGTATCTGTTTCAAAAATTCCATTGTTAAGTCATTTCTCTCTTCTTACATTTTATTATAATCAGCCAGAAGGAGCCAAGCCACACCTTCAATTTCATTACTCACAAGTTCTACTTCCCACAAAACATTACACGGAACATAATTTCACCAAGTTCTTTTCACTTTGTAAAAAGAACTGCTTTTCCTCCAGTTTCCAATAACATGTTACTCACTTCCATCCGAGACCTCATCAGTACTGCCTTTACCATCCATATTTCTACCAACATTCTGTCAATAATGTATTCTCTAAGATTGAAGTTTTCTTTTAGCTCTTTCTCTTCTGAGCATCACCAAAATTGCCATTAATGTCCTTATTTTTTGCATGCACCTAAAAACTCTCCCAGCCCTTACCTATTATTCAATTCCAAAGCCACTTCCACATTTTTAGGTATTTGTTACATTAACACCCCACTTCTGGTACCAATTTCTGTCTTACTCATTTTGGGCTGCTATAATACAGTACAATAGACTGGGTGGTTTATAAACAAATTTCTCACACTCCTTGAGGCTGCAAGTTTGACATTAGTGTGCCAGCACGGTCAGTTTCTGGCAAGAACCCTCTTCCAAAATAAAGACTGCCATTTTTTTGTGTCCTCACATGACAGAAAAGTTTAAGAGAGCTCTCTGGGATCCTTTTGATAAGGGGACTAATCTCAATCAGGAGGGATCCATCATCATCACTTAATTACCTCCAAAAGGCTCCACTTCCTGTCATCACATTAGGGGTTAGGATGTCAACACATGAATTTTGAGGAGACACATTCAATCCATTTCATTTCACTGAAAAATTCTACCAAACATTTAAATAATAATGATTCTACACTACCTCTTCCAGAAATTGAAAGGAGGCAATACTTTGAAACCCATTTTATGAGGCCACCATCACCATGTTAGCAAAATGAGGCAGACAGTTGAATAAAAGAAAACTACAGACCAGTAATCCTCATGAACACTGATGCAAAAATCCTCAAAAAGAAAAAAAAATCCTCAACAAAATATTAGCAAATCATGGTAGTCACAGCAAATCCAGCAATATATTTATGTACTACATATATGTGAAGTATGCACTACAAACAAATGGAGTTTATTCCAGCAATGTAAGGCTTGGTCAATATTTGGAAATTCATGAAGATAATCCATCGTAACAGAGGAAAAGAGAAAAATCACATTTTACTCATTATATCAACTGGTGCATATTTCAAGTAGAATTTCAAGGATATATAAAGGGTTCCATGGCAGTGTTTCCAGATAGCAAAGTGTTTTCAAAGTTATAATTGGGCCTGAGAGGGAAAGAAAAAATCAAATATATGGTACTGTCCTGAAAATGTAGTCTCAGAATAATGATGAATGTTATTATCCTTTCTGTGAAACAACAGGGCTTCTAAGAATTTCAGTCATTTTTCCACAGCAGCCTCATAGGGAGCCCAATACAGAGAAAAGCCTGTTGATCTTTTGTCTGAGTGACCCCTAATAAAATTCATTGAAAATACAGTTTTTAAGACAAGTGTACTACTTGCAGCACTGCAAGCTTGAACTTAATGGGACAGAAACAGTACAGGGTGAAAGGGCCTTGGGATCCCAAAACATCTATGAGCTAAAAACAGTCTGAGAAAACTACTCAGCTGTAAACACAGGTTACCTGTGTTTCATGAGAGGGGCGGGAAGCATGACTCAGGGTAGAACCAAGACCTCAGTATTCAAACATGCTACTTGGGAGCAGAAAAGACACTTAAATTGGGTTCTGTATTATGTAATAATGCAACCCATTGAATATCACAGCAGAGAAATGTTGTGAGAAACAGAATATATTACATTCTTTTTAAAAAACTAAATCTTCAAAACCTCATGTGTATTTTACACTTACCACCATTTTAATTCGAACTAGCCACAATTCAAGTGCCCAATTTTGAGTGCGCAACATATTGCTGGCAACTATCTTATTAGACAATGAAGGTCTATTCCATTAATTTCCATATTTGGTTGTAGTAATTGCTTTTTAAACTCATTCTTTAAACATATGAAGTACTGTGGGACAGGCATGATAACAGAGGTAGCAATAGGTGAACTAGATAAAATCTGGACCCTCGATTTTTATTTCCCAAATACGGTATAGCATATTTAATATCCCAATGTGCAGAGCTTTGACAACATCCACAAATTTTGATATGTAGTCATTTAAAAAAAATCATTTACTTCAATTGGGTTATAATTCCATAGCTAATTTTATCTTTAAAATATTATGGGAAAATTGAAATACGTAAAAGTAGAGAAAATAGCAAAAACAAAATAAACAAAAACCATGTACCCAAGATTCATCTTACCATCACTTTGTATCCATTCTTATTTTCCTTTTGCATGAGCATTTTTAAAAAGTTCCAGACATCATTATCATCTTGTGTATAAACTTACCTTTTTACATAACCACGATGCTATTATCACACCTAACAAAAACATAATTTTTTAAATATTATCTAATACTGTCAATACTCCCATTTCCCTAATTGTCATAAAAATGTCCTTTTTACACGTTTGTTCAACTTGTGAATCTAATTCATTGCATTTGATTGGTATACATTTCTTCAGACTGAGTTCCGCCTCCCCTTTTTCAATGCCATTTTATCGTTTGAGAACTCAGGTTATTCCTCTTGTAGAATTACCCACATTTTAGATTAGTTTAATTGCTTCTTGTGTCATGTTCTTCTGTTCCCTGAATTTTCTCTAAAGTGGAAGTTAGATCTTGATGCTTAGATTCAGGTTTAATATTTTTGGGCAAGATGCGTCAGCCTTATTGTAACACATTAGGGGGCACAAAGTGTTTTATCCTATTTTTCATGAGATTAAAATCGATCAGTGGGTACCTACACTGGTCTTAACCTTTATTGGGAATTGTGCCTAGATCCATTATTTCATTATGTGCTACAAAACTCTAACAAAGAACTTTAACTCATCAACTTCTAGTTGCCCTAAAATACAGTTCAATAGGAAACGCAGGCTAAATGACTTTCCTTTCAATTATCATTTTTGGAATGAGTTAGTGTCCTAGCAACCTCCATATGTATATTATACAGACGGGAAGACAGAGGTGATATAATAGGGTAAGATCAAAAGCTCTTCTATATTTACTCCTTTAAGAGTTTCTTTCTAGAACAAGTTTCCTGAAGTTTAACATGGTTTTTAATGCTGAGGAAAGGCTTCTACAAATTCATGAAATTAATATACCCTTTCCTTCAAATAAAACCTCTTATTTAGCTTAGTTGTAAGCATGAAGCCAAAGGGATTCCTGTATTAAAAAACTTCCCCTAGAATTTATCTTTTAATGCCCCTTAACACAAAATTCACAGTGGAAGACTTTCCTATAGTTATTTAGTTACGTTATGAATTCGCTGATGGTAGGTAAGATGGGAATGTTGTCTAAATGCTTTTTTACATTCCTTACATTTGTATGGTTTTTCACCAGAATGAATTCTCTGATGTTGAATAAGGGATGAATGAAGTCTAAAGGCCTTTCCACATTCCTTACAGTCATAGGGCTTCTCACCAGTGTGAATACTCTGATGTTGAGTAAGTTGTGATAGCAGTCTAAAAGTCTTCTCACATTCCTTACATTTATAAGGTTTCTCACCAAAATGAATACTCTGATGTTGAGTAAGTTGTGAGAACAGTCTAAAGGTCTTCCCACATTCCTTACAATCATAGGGTTTCTCTCCAATATGAATACCCTGATGTGAAATAAGTTCTGAGTAACGACGGAAGAACTTCTGACATTCCTTACATTCATAAGGTTTCTCACCAGTATGAATTCTTTGATGGAGGGTCAGATGATAACCACGACTAAAGGTCTTCCCACATTCTTTACAATCATAGGGTTTCTCACCAGTATGGATTCTCTGATGGAGAGTGAGTTGTTGTCTCACTCTGAAGGCCTTTCCACATTCCTTACATTCATAGGGTTTTTCACCAGTATGAAGTTTGTGATGTACTCTGAGGCCTGTACTACACAAAAAAGCCTGCCCACAGTCCTTACATTCGTAGCACTTCTCAGCAATATTAAGTCTCTGATGTCGTGTAAGGTGTGCATACTGTCTAAAGGTCTTCCCACATTCCTTACATTCATAGGGTTTCTCACCAGTGTGAATCCTTTGATGGAGATTAAGTTGTCCACGCACTCTGAAGGCCTTCCCACATTCCTTACATTCATAGGGCTTCTCACCAATATGAGTTCTCTGATGTACTCGAAGATCTGCACCACACGTAAAGATCTTTCCACATTTTTTACATTCGAGGAGTTTGTCAGAAGTATGAATTCTCTGATGTCGACTAAGGTGGGCACACTGTCTAAAGGCTTTTCCACATTCTTTACATTCATAGGGTTTTTCACCAGTGTGAATTCTCTGATGGAAAGTAAGTTGTTGGCGCACCCTGAAGGCCTTCCCACAGTCCCCACATTCGTAGGGTTTCTCTCTATTATGAATTCTCTGATACAGAGTAAGAGATGTGAGTTTTCTGTAACTGGGCATTTTTTTCACTTGCCTGAAATATCCCTCTTGAGGACCTTCTTGTCCCTCAAACTTTTTATATTTATAATCTTTTCTGATAAAGGAGTCTTCGAGGCCACAACTTCTAATTCTTCTCATTATCTCCCACTGAGATAAATTCATTTCATAAATATCCTTTTCTTGAAATAACCTTTTAGTGTCATATCTGGATTCTAAATCTGCAAGAAAAGATAAATACATGCTATCTTCTTATTCTAGAAAAAGTAAACCGGCAAAGACAAACTTTATAATAGAAAAAAAAAATAGAAAATAAAGCTCAGTTGAAGTAAATGAGCTAAAAATCTCTAAAGTAATCATGTATTTGGGTGCAGATCAAAGTTGGAGAATCTTCACTTAAATTTTTAAATAATTACTCCTTTTAAACAGAATAATGTACAAACATCTCACCATGAATAACATGGCTTTTGTTTACCATATCATCTCAAGTCATTGTCCCCTTTCTTCCCTATATTCCTATTCCACTAGCCTCCTTTCAGCTCCTAGAATATGTAATTATCTTTCCATTTCTTAGAGCTTTTCACTGTCTATTAAATCTCCCAGAACTGCCAACTTGCATTCTCTACATAGTTGGGTTCCTTTCATCCTTTAGGTACCATGTTAAAAATCAGACCCATGCTGCTGACTTCATCTAATTTATATCCTTTACTTTCTATCCAAGTAATTTGTTTCTTATTTCTTAACATTTTTTCAATTTTGTTGTTACATACATATTCATAAATTTTCCCATTTTTTTATTCTCTTTATTTTCTTACCTTAAACTTTCCCAAGGGCAGAAACAACTCATTTACCACTGAATAACAAACCCATGGCATATAGTAACTATTAATTATTAAATTCTCATAATTAGTTAACAGTTTTTACATATGTTCCCTTGCTGCTAATCTTATACCTTACTACACTGATTAAATATTTTTTATTACTTCCTATACAGATGGGAAACAACAGCACATCTAAGCTATCTCAAATATATAAATGAAAAATGGTGATTTCTTTACATGTGATTATCTTTCCCATTGTCTACTTTCACTTAGATATCTCCACTACAGCTCATTTTCTACTTTGCACAGTCATGAGTAAACTGTTTTCACAAGGTAGTGAGAGGTTCTACTTTATCTTTATTTCAGCTTATATAACTACACATATCTATGTTACAAATACTCAACCTGTTTTGTTCCTTCATACGCTTCTCTATATTCTCCCTAAGGTCCCCAAAGCCAATGCCATTTAGGTTCTACCTAGGGAGTATTTTAGTGATTTTTCAGGCATAAGAATGAGTTTATATCATAGTAACAAGCTAATAAAAATCTGAGCAAAGAGAGATTTTTCTCAAATGTATATTTTCTCAAAATTTTTACAATAAGAGTTCACTACTTTTCAAAAAGAAAATGGTATTTTTAAGAACCTGTAATACAGGAACGCTATTTTTAATATGCCCAAACTGGAAAGAATCCAAGTGTTCATCAGAATTACTATGCAAATTAAAACATATTATAGGAACACAATACTGTATAACAATGAAAATGAGTAATCTACAAGTACATACAACAGCATAGGTCAATCTCACAAGCATAATGATGAGTAAACAAAGACAAACATGAAAGAATGAATATATACGGTATAGTTCCATATTTATGAAGTTCGAAAATGGTAAAATCTATACAGTTGTTAAAATTCAAGATAGTGGTTAATTTTGGTGGGGAGGAAAGACTGGAAGGAATTAGGAGGGATCTTCTAATATCCTAGCAAACCTCTATTTCTGTGCTAGTCAGATGGATGTGATTACTTTGTGAAAATTCAGTAAGCTGTTTGCTTATGATTTCAGGTTTTTTGGTATGTATTTATGTTTCAGTAAGTTTGTTTAGAAAAGGATATACTGGGGTGCCTGGGTGGCTCAGTCGGTTAAGCGTCTGACTCTCGATTTCATCTTAGTCATGATCTCAGGGTCGTGAGCTCAAGCCCTGTGTCAGGCTCTGCACTGAACGTGGAGCTTGCTTACGATTCTCTCTCCCCCTGCCCTTCCCCACCCCAACCACATGCACATGCTCTCTCTCTTAAAAAAAAAAAAAAAAAAAGGATATGTTAAAAACATTAAAGGCAATAATGATTTAAATAGTGTATATAAAATATGAGCAGAGACAGGTAAATGAGTATTTCCTTTTCCCCTTAATTCCCTCTTTCCTCCCGCTTTCCCTTTCTCTCTCTTCCCCTTGCTCTGTTTCCATTTCCCTACCTAAGAAAGCAATAAAAAACTTTGGCAACTTTGTAAGGATCTTCAGGAAGAAGTCAATTTAAGGCTTAAGACAAATAAGATGGAAATGATATATTAAATGACCAGTAATTAGCTAAATAATAATGGCAGCAAATAAGTAGGCAGCCATAAAGGTATGACAAAGGTTATAAGATGGTAAGTTCAAAGGATTTACTTGTAAGTTAAAAAGTAAAGACCAGTAATGTAAAAGGAAAGTCATTAAAAAAAAAAAAACATAAAAAAGTAAAAGTCATGGTCAAAATAAAGCTGAAACATCTGCAAGAAAAATGAGAAAGTGTTGACAGCATAAACGCCCATATAAATTGATATAAGAAACATTAAACAATGGAAACAGTAATAAAGATGAGCAGATAATATGCAAAACAAGTATAAATATACACAAAAATAAGATAAAATGTCCATATTCACCCCCTCTCTCTCTCCCTCACACACACACACACACACACACACACACACACACACACACACAAAGTAGAACAAGTTATAAAACTCATCCTATAGGGGAACCAGGCTGGCTCAGTTGGTGAAGCATGTGACTCTTGATCTCAGGGTTTTAAGTTTGAGCCCCATATTGGGTATAGAGATTACTTAAAAATAAAATCTTTAAAAAATAAAAAAACTCATCCTATAAAACGTAGAGGTTTCCATTAAAAAACAAAACATTCCCAATGTGGATATAATGAACCTGACATTCTCATATATGCCCCCACCACTTAAAAAATATGCCAGATTAAGACCTTGCATTTTGAATATTCTCACCTAGGAGACTATAGCATGAACACTGAGCTGTAATCTTATGATTTGTATAAACAAAAAGTCAGCCATATTTGTTCCCAAATTTGTTTATGCCAATTCTTACCACTGCAAGCAACTAAGACAATCATTTCTATAAAAACAACATTGACTACTTCAGGTTCTCGTTCTACTTTAAACTGAAACTAGAAATATAGCCTTCCCATTATATGTGTGATCTAATCAAGAAAGAATTGGCTGGACCTACAATGAAACAAAAGGCCAAACAAACTAAGTATCAAAAGATTGGCCTATGGTAAGAAATGTTAATGTTACAACTTTTAAAATATATGTAAAATATTTAACCATTTAAAATTAATAAACCAAACACTAGTTTGGATTCTACTGAATCAAGAACTTTAGTAAAAAATGCTAATGTGCAAGCAAAATATTAGCCCCTCTTGGATCAATATAAAAGGAGAAATGTTATTTCCATTTCCAGGGTATCAGCTTTCATTAAAAAGAAAATGAGGAGAATATTACCTGGTCACAAAATTTGTTTCCTAAGGTATGATGTCTTTAATCACCTTTTTTCCTTTGTTGATACAAGATGATATGGGATATATATTTATGACAGAGGCAGTTTTAGTCAAATTAACACCAGGGTTAATGTGTTAAAAGAAATCTGTAAATATTAAAACCCTATGACCACAGAGTTATATTTCTGAGAATCAATACTGACTACATACTGAATAATCCATAATGAATTCCAATAAGATGCTAAATAATCCTCACATTCTGCTGATAATCTTACTCTTTATTTCAACAAGAAATCAGAAGCATTTGAAAGGAAAATATGTATTCTCCCCTTCACGTTATTCAACCAACCTGTGTCCATATCCTTGTCATACACATGAATTTTCTTCATAAATTGGCTCTGACTCCTTCCCATCTACTGAAGGCCATTCCTTACAAAATTATCCTATCTCTCTCCTCCATCAACTTTCCTCTCTTTGAAATCATTTCCATCAACATATAAATATGTTCTAATACTTCACATTTTTTTTTTTTTAAGATTTTATTTATTTGCTAGAGAGAGAGAGCGTAGGTGAGAAAGAGTGAGCGAGAGCACAAGCAGGGGGAGCTGCAGGCAGAGGGAGAAGCAGGCTCCCTGCTGAGCAGGGAGCCCGATGCGGGACTCAATCCCAGGACCCTGGGATCATGACCTGAGCTGAAGGCAGACGCTTAACTGACTGAGCCACCCAGGCATCCCCTAATACTTCACATCTTAAAAGACATTTCCTGTATCCCATGTGTCTGCTTTTATGGCAGAATTTCTCCAAGACTTGTATATACTTATTTTCACCACTGTCTCACATCTCATTTTCTTATCCTTTTATCTCCCAATAACTCTAAAATAAAACTTTACTACAGAGTATCTCTAATACACACAAAAGTAGAACAGTATAATGAATATCCATGCATCTATGACCCAGCCTCAACAACCACCAACCCATGCCCAATCCAGGCCAATGCACACCCCAATCCACTTTCCTCACATTATTTGAAGCAAATCCCATATACTAATTTTTTCTCCTTAAAGGATTTATCTCTAATCATAATACCATTATTCAAAAACCTTTAAAAAAATGAACAGTAATTCTTTAAGATTATAAAAAATAAGTGTTTATACCTCTAATCTCAAACATAAAATTTTAAACAATTTAAAAATAGTAAATTGATCCCCCAAAAAAGTCCAGAGAGTACAACCGGCTGACAGGTCTTTTATATGTCTTTTAATCTAAAGGTTTTCCTGCTTTCTTTTGATTTCCCTTGTAATTTATTTGTTGAAGAAACTGTTTTTTGACCCTATAGCGTTGCCCATCTCTTAATTTTGCTGACTATTATCCCAAGGTGCAGTAGAACATATGTTCCTCTATCTTCTTCCCATAAATTGGTAATTGGCTTTAGAAACTTCATCAGACTTAGGACCAATTTTATTGGCAAAGTTACTTCATAGGTGATAGTGTATCCTTTCATTAGAAGAAATATGTCTGGGGTGCCTGGGTGGCTCAGTTGGTTAAGTGACTGCCTTCAGCTCAGGTCATGATCCTGGAGTCCCAGGATCGAGTCCCACATCGGGCTCCCCGCTCAGCGGGGAGTCTGCTTCTCCCTCTGGCCCTCCCCCCTCTCATGCTCTCTCTCTTTCTCATTCTCTCTCTCAAATAAATAAATAAAATCTTAAAAAAAAAAGGAAGAAATACGTCTGATTGTCTCTATTTCTGTGATGTTATTAATGTTTAATTTGATATTTAATGCCCAGATCCAGTTGTTCATTATGGGTTCCAAAATGGTAATATTCTAACTGTCATCTTTCATTTATTCACTGAATACTTTTATTAAGAAAAACATCCCTCTATCTAATATTGGTACAGTTCTTATAAAAAATACTTCTTATAAAGAATACTTCTTTTCCTTTCTATTTCCCAAATAAGTTAAATCTCTAGTAGTTTCCAGTGGTGAACAATTTGCCATTAGTATCACTAAGAATTTATGGAATTAAGCATATTTTATGTGTTACAATACACTGCAGTTATGTGTATGGTCAAATGATTCCATCTTTGACCAGCTGGAGCTTCTTACAACTGGCTCCTCTTCTCTGACCACCTTATCTAAAGTTACCCCATTCATCCATCATAATTCTCCATATTCTCACCCTACTTACATTTCTTCATAACTTAATCATTTCACGATATTTGGTAATCCATTTGCTTATTTGTGTATTGTATGACTTCCCTAACGACAATGTAAACTTCATGAAAAGAGAACAATGGAGAAATATATATATATAAAAGATGAACCAGAAATGAATTAGATCCAAAATACAGGTAAAATGGTTGCCATTATGAAGTTTCCCCCCACTGAAATGACAGGGAGATGGGAGAGTGAAGAAACAAGTGGTAAGTGGAAGTATAGATGAAGTTTCTTTGCTGGCTATGCTGAGACCTGTTTTCTTCCCAGGTTTCAGGTCTTCTCTTCATTATCAACATCTATGGGGTGTGTTACCTTCCCAACCAGCAGGCTGTGCCTGCAGACACAGACAACCACGCATCTCTGCCTGATTAGCACTTACTCACCTAGGCTCCTTCTTCTTCTCTCATCCCTCACAACCATCCAGGGTTCTTTCCCTTGCTCTAGTAGGGTAATCACATCTGGCTTAGAAATGGAACATCCTGCTTGAAAAAACATAATGGTACATAATAAAGAATTAACTTGATAGAGCCTTCAGAACAAAGAGGAGTAATAGGATTGAAACACATTCATATTAGTGTTACTTCAGGGTCACAAGGAATAACAAGAACAGAGGAGTAGGAACATTGTCTTATTTTAATTTAAACTCATACAGAGTCCCTCTCTTGAGAGAAGTAATGATTTGGGGGTTTTTTTTGTTTGTTTTTTTTTTTTTGAGGAAGTAATGATTTGAGAATACTGGTTTCAAATCCTGCCTCTACCACTTGGGTTGCTATGGCCTCAGTTTTCTCAGCTGTAAAAAGGAGGTATTATGTCTATCCATTGGACTGCTGTGAGGTTTGATTTTATAAATGTAAAGTGCTTGGATAAGTGCTTAGTACATAGTAAACACTATATATATACTTATTAGATGCTTTTATTAGGTATTTTGCTATTTTGCTAAGAGGAAAATAGTTTCTAACCAGGATATACATCCAATATTAAATGCAAAATTCATGTACTTTAAACTTTTAATCATAAATCAATTAAAAGGTAGTATTTCTGCTGTGGTAAATTGAATGTGTCCACTTGAGTTTTAACAAACTGTTGATTCAACCCAGCAACATATACATTGTATAAGCTTTTTAAATAGATATGTGGAGCCAGACACCTCTATAGTCTTCCTACTCACGTTGCAAGTAAACTAACAGATAATATGCCATGCATAGCAATATGAAACCAGATTTCTTTAACAATGGTTTTGCTGTGAGTGTCTGAGAATTTGTATCTAGCTGTCATTAAAGAGGAGCAATTAACAGAAAAGGCACAGAAAGACATAAAGGTCACTGGATTATGGGGGAAGCTAAAGGTGCTATTTAATTGCTTATTAGCTATAAGGTGCCTATTCCCAACTACAAAGCAGATATTCAGCTAATTTCTAGAAAGACAGCCATGAAATTCAGCCCTGTGAATTTCTAAATTATATGACACAGATAAGCTTACCCACTGACACCAAGTTGCTATAGTTCTCTAATATCACATCTCTGTACAAATTCCTCTGATATAAGTTCAGGCATTCCCACTCTTCCTGAGAAAAGTCTACAGCCACATCTCTGAACATCACCAAATGCTGAAATGACAAACCCATGTATTATTTCTAAAATTATTTATTTCTCTAAAGAGCCAATATTTAAGCTTTTGCAAGCCACATGCGATCTGTTTCATATCCTTCCCCCTTCCCTTCCTTTTTAAAACAATTCTTTCAAAACATAATTAACTCAAAGGCTGGAAAAAACAGGCCAAGGGATGAATCTGGCTCACAAGCTGTAGTTTGCCAACCACTGCTAAAGAAAAAACTTCCTATGTACCATGGAATACCTAATTTTACTTATTTCTAGGTATGTTCACATAGTTAATCAGAATTTCACAATTAACTGAAATAGCATTCATAAGAACACTGCTCGCAAAGGGCCTAAGTGGGCCTATAAAAAAATTCTCAATAAATGTGCTTTATTCTAACCTCTTTTCCTTTAAGAATTAGGAAAAAAAAACAAAAACTGATGGATTTCTTTTCCTCCAAATGAACCATGAAATCTCTGTTTTTAAAAAGTAGTTTGTATAAAATTAATTTCTTCCAGACCGGACTTCATCACTATATCATTAGCATTTTTCTTTGTTATAACAAACACTTTACTGAATATTTTTAATTTACTAAAAAATAGTCCATTTGTGTTAGACTTAGGAATGATTGTATTTAGGTATTTCTATACTTTTAAATATATTAAGTTACATTTAGAATTCAGGTTACACAAAATCTCTGAAGCTGCAATGTCCAATATGCTGGCTTAGACATGTGATGACTGAGCACTTAAATTGTGGCTAGTCCAAATTTAGATATGCTGTAATTCAAAAATACATACCAGATATAAAAAACTTTAGAAATAAAAAAAAAAGATCTCAATAATTTCAATATTGATTACACTTTGAAACGATAACATTTTGGGTATATATACATGTGCTATATTGAGTTAAATAAAACATTAAAACTAACTGCATGTGTTATTTTTTACTTTTTTTAATATGACTACGAAAAAGTTCAAGATTATGTAAGTGCCTTGCATATTATTCTATACTTTTTATGAGACTTACATGCTGCCTACTGCCTTTAAGAAGGCACTAATTCTATATTTTAAATATGCAACTTCTAGAAAATTTTTAATTACATAGGTAGCTCACATTATAATTCTTTTGGACAGTGTTGCTCTAGTGTTCTCCATTACTGAGAGCCTCAGATCAAACAATTCCCTCTACGGACTTCAATTCTATTTTATCTCTGCTCCAGACAAAGACTGAACACACAGTCAATACACTGAATAATTTGGTCAATAGACACATGGACATGGGTAGAAAAGAGTGAGGTACATGGGGGCCCTGGGCTGCCTGGTTCCATCCCTTACTAGAATGGAAAAGACTGGGGAGAAGCTGTCAGATGGGGCTCTGTTAGGAAGTTTCAGGATATCTAACGAGAGTTGTCATATAACCTGAAAAAAATTACAGCACTTCAAACAGAAACACCAACTTACATGAGCCATGATTTCAGATTGTAAAAACTGGTCAGTTTTCCTCAAAGGTCATTTGCTGGAGAAGTACAGTCCACAGAAGCTAGAGCTGGGGGAAGAAGGTAAAGCCGTAAGAACGAAATTGCCTCAGAACTCCCAAATTTTAAAATGTCACACTACTTCTCCCTTCCTACACTCCTCCCCCCCTCCAACACACAGACAATGAGAGGTAGGAGGTAGTTAAGAAAAAATATATGTCTTCTTCAAAGCCACAGGAAAATCAGTTGCACAAGGACAGACACAGAGCAGACACTTGCATGGAAGCTCATGTCCAGACACTTCAGCAGGAGGGTTTCCAGTCAGTCCCCTACCCCAGCGAGGCTGAGCTGGACCTGAGCATGGGCTGCCCAGGCCTGTCCTGAGCAGATCCATCTCCCTCCATTCCCACCTTCCCAGCTGAGAAGTGGTTGTTACATCATCTGACCCAGAACTTCTTTCTAAGACTCAGGAATGTGGCTGGCCTCCCTAAACCTGAAAACAGAAAATACTATGGATAAGAATTTCCCAAACTTTGCTAGACACTGGAATTGCCTGCAGATCTTTAAAATATACTGATGCCTGGCTCCTATCCCCCAAACATTTTTATTTCATTAGTACAGAGTGTGACCTGAGAATCAGGATTTTAAATCCCCCTCAGATTTTATAAAATTTCTGACAGGTCATCATAAGGGGCAACAAAGTTCAGTAATTAAACTTTGTGTACATCAGAATCACCTGGAGGGCTTATTAAAACACAGTTTGCAGGGCCTCACTCTTAGAGTTTGGCATTTCGTAGAGGTTTGGAGTTGGCCTTGAGAATTTGCAGTTCTAAAAAGTTCCCAAGTGATACTTGATGTTGCTGGTCCAAATGACACAATTTGAGAACTACCTGCATAGACCACACTAGCAGCCTCTACCATGGCAAAACTATACTTGCACACTGGGATCCCTTCTTGGGGGAAGGGTGCACTACCACCCTGAGCTCACCAGTCACCGTTTGCCTGTTCAGAATCATCAGTACTGCTTGCACAATCTCATTTATCAACCCATCTCTCTTGGTACTCAGGCTGGAAGAAGTGATTTGTGAAACCTGAGCATGACTAACTCTCTAGAAAGTAGAAATAACTCATTAGTTAAAACTCACTAGTAACTAAGGAAATGCATATTAAAGGAACTGGATTGACAGATTTGAAAAACTGATAACACTTCTTATTACTAAGGTTGTACAGAAATGGACACTCATGGTATGTTGTAGAAAGAATGAAAAAATGTTGGAAGGTGTTTATAATGGGACAAAAAAAGCTGGAAAGAACCTAAATATCCTTTAGCAGGTTAAATAAATTATCGTGCTTTCACACAATGGCACTAAAAACCCACTAAAAATGGGGTTGTCTGGCTGGCTCAGTTGGAAGAGCACGTGACTCTTAATCTAGGGTCATGAGTTCAAGCCCCACATTGAATGCAGAGGTTAATAAAATAAACAAACATTAAAAAAAATAACTTTTTAATAAAGAAACGCTAAAAATGAAGGTAAAATTTTTATGTGATGTTGTGGAAAGATGGTCACTACAAATTGCTGGGAGAAGGTAGGTTAGGAAATAGTTTTGTACTGTGATTGTGTGTTTGACAGGAAAACTACATCCATACACATGCATGTATACGCAGGTTTATGAAACAGTCTGTGAATGGAGTTAGAATAAAATTTTATTGTGTTACCTTGACGATGATATCCCAGGTGACCTTTATCTTGTTCTCTAAAAGTTTATATCACTTATACCTGGACATAAATTTAAAATAGCTCTGCAAGGAGTATTATATTACAAAAAGCCCCAAAGTTCCACCCTTGGTATCCTTTCCCGAGCTTCCAAATCTAGAGACCTGCCTCTCTTAGCTATTTCTTTTGGTATTTAAACTCCATACATTTAGCATGCTGATATTACTACTTCTGAATTTTTAGTTTTAGTCACTCTTTGCTGAGGTTAAAATAATTTTGTTTTTTGTAAGCTTAGTTTTCTAGGAAATTATCATTAATTCATTTCTCAAACTCTCACCCAAATAAAGGATCAGGAGGATGAATGAAGCTTTTGGCATAAAAGAGCACAGTGGTCTATTTCATATTGTAAGAATCCTTCAGAAATTCAGCCAAACACTTCAGAGTATCACCTGTAACCCACCTGGTAAAAATCAATGCCGTATTCCTTAGTGTTCCTCTCTCTGAAATCCTACATGACCATGAAGTGAAAAGTTAGGTAAGTAATATCACAGAGAAAGCCTGTCAAAGGAATTGCTCAGGCAGTTTGAATATTACTGCCCAATAGCTGATTTCTTAAATGATTTATAAAACATCCATAAAATACTGAATACTAAAGTAATTATGAATTGCTAAGTTCTAGAAAGCAGTTAAGGAATAGAAAGTATTCAAGATACACTGAAAGAAAAAAAAATCGGTTTATAAAACAATACATAATATAATTAGTTATTTTAAATCATTAATGTGAAACAAACATCAGTAGATGGGGGGAAATCTCCATATTTCAATTCTGACATTTTAAAATTAATTTTAAATTATAATTAAGTCTCTCAATTTAAATGCCATTTCTATCGTAAGAATTATAATTACTTGGAAGATTTCTCAAACAAGAAGGGGACTTTTGGGATTTTGCCTTTCTCCATACATCCATGATTATAGAATCCATAAAATCCATGAGGGTACTGAATGTCTCTTTTAAACTAATAACTAGAGGTCTTGATTTCTTTTAAATTTTCAATTAGGGTTATCCCATTATTCATAAATAAAACCACATACAAAAATACATATACTTGTAGAAATATTTTGGGAAAATATGCTACAAATATTAATAGTGATTATTTTTGGATGTTGAGAACATGGATAATTTTAATTTCTTCTCTTTTAGGTTCCTTAGTTACTTATTATTTCACAACCCTGCATTAACTCCATCAGAAATATTGTTTTCAAAAGCCATTCCCATTAAAAAGAATTTTTTAATGAGTTGGGAGAATGGGGTACCTTGTAGTCATTAAGAAAATTGTGATTAGGGTGCCTGGGTGGGTCAGTTGGTTAAGCGACTGCTTTTGGCTCAGGTGATGATCCTGGAGTCTCAGAATCGAGTCCCGCATCAGGCTCCCTGCTCAGCAGGGAGTCTGCTTCTCCCTCTGACCCTTCCCCCTCTCATGTGCTCTCTCTCTCTCATTCTCTCTCTCTCTCAAATAAATAAATAAATAAATAAAATCTTAAAAAAAAGAAAAAGAAAATTGTGATTAAATAGGCCTACGAAAGTGGTAACAACCAGGAAATCAATGTGACTGAAAAAATAATTCCTTTTTTTTTTTTAAAGAGCAGTCACTCAACCAACTGAGCCACCCAGGCGCCCTGAAAAAATAATTCCTACCAATTGAATATTGTCTCTCATCAACACCTGAGATCCTTCTGTGAAGGATCACAGGGCTTTTCCAAAGTGATTACGAGACAGAAAAAGAAATGCTTATTTCAGAGCAGCTGCTCAATAACTTGAGCTTAACCCTCCTGGGCTCCAATGAATACACCAGTTATTAAATCCTTGCAATGCATCTTATAAATCGTGTTCAAGATACATATGTAACTTAACAATTTCTTTTTTTTATTTCATTATGTTATGTTAATCACCATACATCATTAGTTTTTGATGTAGTGTTCCACGATTCATCATTTGCGTATAACACCCAGTGCTCCATTTAATACGTGCCCTCTTTAATACCCATCACCAGGCTAACCCATCCCCCTACCCCCCTCCCCTCTAGAACCCTCAGTTTTTTCTCAGAGTCCATAGTCTCTCATGGTTCTGTAACTTAACAATTTCTTAAAGATTTTTATTCATAATAAATATTTCTCAATATTACATTATATACATATATATTTTCCTGATGACTAAATTACTAATAAACATAATTTTTAGTATTGCATGGGATACTACTTTTATAAAAGATTATCCCAAAAGTCATTCCTAGTTATCCCAGACTTTTATTCTACACTTGTAAGAATCAATCTTGTTGGGTCTTATACAACTTTGATAATATCATGAAATGATAGACTTCCTCCCCACCAAATTACCTGCTGACAAATATATACAACAATCTTGTACATAATCTTAGATTTTTGCTGTCCTGAAAACCCATAACTGAGTCCAAAGACTTCATGTTAAGAATCCCTCTTTTGCGGGGTCCCTGGGGGGCTCAGTGGGTTAAGCATCTGATTTCGGCTCAGGTCATGGTCTCAGGGTCCTGGGATAGAGCACCCCCCATCCCTCCACCCCCCAGTCTCCACACTCAGGGGGAGTTTTCTTCTCCCACTGCTCCCCATCCCACGCCCCCCCCACTCGTGCACACTCTTTCTCTAATAAATAAATACAATCTTTAAAAAAAAAAAGAATCCCTCTTTTGGTTCATTCGAGTATCTGATTCATTTCCTGCTTGCAAGCATCCATCCTAATTAATCTCAGATTTTCATTACTTTTGGGAATACAGAAAGCTGATAGGGAATGACTAAGAATCATATTTAAAACCAATAGCTAATATTAGTTAAGCACTCTTCTAATGTGCCAGGTAGTCCTCTAAGAGCTTAACAGATATTAATTCAGGTAATCTTTAAAACCACACTGTGAGGTATATACTATTGTAATTCTGAATTTACGGATAAAGAAACTGGGACCAGAAATATTGCTCAAACTCACTCAGATTTAAGTGGCAGGCAGGATTCAAATTCCTTTAATCTAGGTTCAAAATTCTTAAACACCTTATATACCTCAGTCTATTGAAAAACATACGCCAAACAAACTAATGGTACAAACTTTCAATCATAAGAACAAGTTCTTAAGACCTAATGTACAGCACGGTTACCGTATTATATACTTGAAATTTGAAATTTAAGAGTAGATCTTAAGTTTTCTCACCACACACAAAATAACTATGAGGTGTTGGATGTTAATTGGTCTGATTGTGGTAATCATTTCATTCCACAATGTATACATATACCGAAACATCCTGTTGTACACCTTAAGTATATACCATTTTGTATTTATCAAAAATAAGCAAAACAAACTCATGCTACCAAACCTCCAACCACATCTGGCTGGTACCAAAAATTTCCAATTACGGAGTTCCTTGGAAAAAAAATCCCCATCCCTTTTCTGGAATCATTGAAGGTATCCAAACAAACCCTAAATTACTCCTTAACAAACCACAGTCGAAAACAAAGCATGAACATTGACTTCCAAACGGGGTATTTCCATAATCAGAATCCTTAAGAAAAAGTGCTCACAAAGCAACTGAATATATAGCATACGATGAACTAACTGCATTAAATAGACACTAGCGAGTGTTACCTATTAATTAGGTCCCCCGCCGTTAACTTACGTAGGGAAATCTTGAGGCCCAAATCAATGAATAGACCATTCTTAAGCAGCACATTCCAAGGGAAGAAAATCAAAAAGCCCAGTGTTCTGAAAATCAAATGCATTTCACGGAAACAAAGAAGCAGCACAAACTCACACAGAACCTGGCTTTCCGAGGCGCGGCAGCGATTCGTTTCACTTCAAAGGCCTTCTCTGGAGACTGGCCGGGCTGGGGAAGCAAATAGTGTTCATTACATCCCAGGCTTTTCTTGATCGGTTAGAAACCACCCTCCATGCCCCGTGACCCTCGCTAACCATCACAGGCATGCACAAATGGAAACGAGAGACAAACGAGGAAAGGTTTGCGGTCACCCGTGTCCAGGTTCGCAGCTCTGGTTACGCTGTATTTCGGACATCGCTACTGCTCACCCCGTGGGACGGCCTACCGCGTCTTCCTCTGTCCAGCGGGTCCTCCGGACCTCAGAGGTCAGCCCTGAATCTAGCTCCAGCGTTTTGCAGGGGACCTTTATTCTGGGGCTCCACCTCCAACTGCCCTCTACGGCCGGGCCTTGGCGGTTGAGAAGACCGAGGTGCGTAAGACCGCAGGGTCTCGCACTGCATAATAGGCCGCGCCCACAAACCGGGCCCCGCACAGTTATTGCCGCATGAGTTTAAACCCACCCCGTCCGGGTCTCCTCACTCGGGAGGAATCGCCTAGTAGGCCGAGGCCCCAGGACCCACCCCCGGTCCGGTCCGCAGAATCTGGCCCTTCCCGTACACGTTTCCTTCAGAAAAGCAGCGGCCACAGCAGAGCCTGGCTCCGCGTAGCCGTGCTGCCACCAGCTCTGAGGACCACCGAGCCTTCAAGTCTGCGGGCTTCCAGAGCGCCTATCGCGACCCGAGTGCGCAGGCGCGCAGGGGGCGGGGGCAAGTGCTTCGGTTCTTCAGGGAGGGCTGGCGGGGGAGAATGGGGCCAGGTCCTTCGCCGGCCGACCGAGTGGAGAAGCAGAGTTCCGGCAGCGCCAGGGTTCCTCAGGCCTGTAAAGGTGACCCTGTGAGCGACCCGTGCTACCGAGGATAATCCAAGCCTGCTCCCTTGTTAGAACTGTAGTCCAAAATCACAAAAGCTGTGTATTCTGGCTTTACTCTTTTGGCTCTTGGCTCCGTCCCCCGTGTGAGCCGCGAACACCGCCCTCGAGCGCCGAGCTTTGAGGCTCCGGGGAGTTGCCGTTTCTGTACGGAGTACGCAGGCGCGCGATGGGGCGGACCCCGGACTCTACTGAGGTGGGGGAGGCTCCTGGGGCCACAACCGCTGGGGGGCTGGGGGGTAGGGCGAAGGGTAAGGGGCACCGTAAGAGTGGTTGGATTCTTCCGCCCGGCTTGGGGACTGTTCAGTTCTTCATTTAGGCTTGAAGCGATGACCCTGACTGGTATCAGTGCCCTGCTCATAGTTCACGTGGCGTTTCCTGAGGTACTGGCGTGGTGCCTCGAGTGCCTGAGTGGGTGATCGAAGACTGGCTTGTGTTTTTTCCTGCTTGGAGCTGTTTCCCCGCATATGTGCCATTCTTTGGATGCAGGACTAGAGAGGCACCACAGAGAACACTGTGTGTGATCATGCCTGACTGTGATGCCAGCTTTAGGGATCTCTGAATTCTCTGTGGTTTTCGGCATTAAAAAAATGAAAGCGGAGTAAATCGGAAGATCTAATTGGCTTTATTTGACTATTGTGAGTTGGGCAGCATCCCTACTAATAAAGAGACATCCCCAGGAGTTTCACAGAATGGGAGGTTTTAGAGGCAGGATGGTGGGGCAAGGAAATTAATAGCAAAAGAAAAGAAAGGGTTGGTACCGGCCAGGTCATCTTTTTGAGGGAAGGGAATAGGCCAGAGTCTTATTTTGCAGATTACCTGATCAGGAAATTTTAGATGGACTGTTCAAAGGTCACATTTCTGGGAGTGGTGGAAACTGCAATTGCTAATTAATTAAAAGTGTTAATGTTGATATGTTCTATGGGGGGTTAGTGACTCCATTTGGGGTCTGTTTCTTTTATAACTGTGAAGTGCCTCAAATTGTGTGTATTGTTGAAGGTGACTGTGCTGTGAAGGAAACCAGAGTATGTCACTCCAATATATACCTTTTTGACATAAAAATTATTTTGAACTGAAGGCAATTTATAAGCATGAAAGTCAGGAAAGCTCTCTCTGCCCTCCCCCATTTCTGCCTAAAGGAAGGGTATACATTCTCCTTTATTGGAGACAACTCTAGACTCTTAGCCCATAGGAATCTGCAAATCAACCTTACTCCACTAGTTTCCTTTCACAGATTGCCACCCTTGGGAGCCTAAAACTGCTTTAATTTATCCTGTCATTTCTTTACAAACTTACTTGTTGAATGCTAAGCCACCACTTTGAGTTACTCTTGTTTTCTCCCATATGACATGTACACACATGTTAATAAATTGTCTTCTGTTAATCTTTTTTGTTACAGAGCCCCAGCTGAAAACCCAAAATGGGTAGAGGTAAAAATTTTTTCTCTCTTGTAGCCCTAGGGTGTGTTATTTCTGGCATAGTTTTGATAGGCCTGCACTTCTGCTTCTTACTTTCCGTGGACATTATGTTTGTGGGTGTAGGGGAGCAGAATTTGCCACCCAAAATATGTCTCTTTAGCATAAGGATTATTTTAGGCTGATTATTTTTAAGAAACTGCAAACACAGGAGAAGCTCTAAAACTGAGTAGAAGTTTTTTTTTTTTAAAGACTTATTTGAGAGATAGCACAAGTAGGCAGAGCAGCAGGCAGAGGGAGAGGGAGAAGCAGGCTCTCTGCTGAGCAGAAAGCCCGATGCAGGGCTCCATCCCAGCACCCTGGGATCATGACCTGAGCCGAAGGCAGCCGCTCAACCGACTGAGCCACCCAGGCACTCCCTAGAAGTTACTTTTTGTAAGAAACATTTACATTTAGGGCGCCTGGGTGGCTCAGTAGTTAAGCAGCTGCCTTCCGCTCAGGTCATGATGCTGGAGTCCAGGATCAAGTCCCACATCAGGCTCGCTGCTCAGCAGGGAATCGGCTTCTCCCTCTGACCCTCATCCCACTTGTGCGCTTTCTCTCAAATAAATAAAATCTTAAAAAAAGTAAAAGAAACATTTACATTTATAAGGGAAATCTCCAATTGTAAGGGTGTTTCCCTCACTGTACCAAGAGGGTACCTAAATCTCTAGAATGTTATCAGTGGAGAAGGCATGGACTTAAATCTCTATAACAACGTTCTGCGTGGAGCACTGGGTATTATGCACAAACAATGAATCATGGAACACTGCATCAAAAACTAATGATGTAATGTATGGTGGTTAACATAACAATAAAAAAATTATTAAAAAAAAAACTCTATAACAACGTTATCCTTGTTTATTATGCTTTTCCTGGTAACCTCCCAGCATCTTCTTTTGTCTTTAGCTGAAGATGGTAATTAAGGTAATTTGGTCATTTGGGGGAGTCACTCAGTTTTCCCTTGTATACAGGAAGTATACATGTTATTAAACTTATGTTTATCTCCTGTTAATCTGTCTCATGTCAATTTAATTTTTAGACCAGCCAGAAGAATCTTGTAAGGCAAAGGAAAATTTTTCCTCCCCAACATGGATCACTATGTTACTAGTGTTGGGATTTTGATGGTCAGAATCTTGGCCATTAAGTGTGCCCTCAAGAATGTGATGCTATGGCATTTAAGTGAGTAAAATAATTATAGGCAAAAAAATATTGGAAAGGAAGAGGTAAGATTATCGTTATTTCTGAGTGATAAGACTGTAGGAGTATATAATTGGGAAGTTGAAATTAATAGGACTTCATAAAACAAAAGAAGGGCACTTTATTTTCTCTTATAGCTGCACTTGCAATATTCATCTGTAGATTAGGTTTTTTAGTTTAGGTTTTTGGTTTGGGTTTTTTATTTTTTTTACCTGTACCTAGATGAAATCTTGAATGAATTCAATGATGTTTTCTTTTTTTATTATTTATTTGAGAGAGAGAGAATGAGAGATAGCACGAGAGGGAAGAGGGTCGGAGGGAGAAGCAGACTCCCTGCTGAGCAGGGAGCCCAATGCGAGACTCGATCCCGGGACTCCAGGATCATGACCTGAGCCGAAGGCAGTCGCTTAATCAACTGAGCCACCCAGGCGCCCCTCAATGATGTTTTCAATCAGTCTTAGATAATACAAGTTTCTTTGAAAACTTTTAGCTAAAAGATCAGTTTTATTTTAGTAGTTAAAAATGTCTTTAGTAATAAAAATGTCCAGTATAATAATATTTCATTTAAAGCAAAAAAACTCCATCTTCTTCTTTCTCCTTAACCACATCCAAATATGGTTATATACCAATTATTGTGGTATTTATATAATATGTGGTTTTATAATAATTAAATTATTTTTTATTCAAAACCAAGATTTTCTAGATTTTTTCTTTTTTTTTTTTTAAGATTTTATTTATTTATCTGACAGAGAGAGACACAGCAAGAGAGGGAATACAAGCAGGGGGAGTGGGAGAGGGAGATGCAGGCTTCCCCTTGAGCAGGGAGCCCTATGCGGAGCTCGATCCCAGAACCCTGGGATCATGAAGACGCTTAATGACTGAGCCACCCAGGCACCCCGATATTTTTTCTTTATTAAGGACTTAATTAGTTTTCTTTGTACCTGTTCTTAAATTTTAGAGATGTTCCACAGATAAATGTTCCATATTTATGTTAAATGTCCACAGATTATTTTTTTCGGTTGCTCAAATATCCATTAGAATCTCTCAGTCTACCATTCTGGGGCTTCAGTTGGACTCTACAGTTGTCCTGAAACTTACTTTCATTGTTTTCCTGAATTGGATTACTGTTTCCTGGAATTAAGTTAATTTTTCCATTTTCATTAAAGTTCTTTTACCAACAGTTTCCTTTAGATACATGTGTTAAATTTCTTAGTTCTTTAATGTTTGGAAATGTCTTTACTCTCACACTTTGCCAGTATTCAAAACTTGGAAACATCACTTTAAAGTTTTCTGGTAGGGCGCCTGGGTGGCTCAGTTGGTTAAGCGACTGCCTTCGGCTCAGGTCATGATCCTGGAGTCCCAGGATCAAGTCCCGCATTGGGCTCCCTGCTCGGCGAGGAGCCTGCTTCTCCCTCTAACCCTCTCCCCTCTCATGTGCTCTCTCTCTCTCTCTTTCATTCTCACTCTCTCAAAAAAAAAAAAAAAAATCTTAAAGTTTTCTGGTAGCTTATGTTGTCAAATCTAATACCAATTGTTTTCTGTTCCTCTATGTGTAATCTTATGTCTCCCATTCAAATACTTAATGCTATTTATATCCCCAATGTACTGAAATTTCATGACTTCTGGCATGGATCTTTAAATATTTTTTACGCTAGATATAGGTGAGATTTTTAGTCTGTAGGTTCCAGATCTGAGAATTTTTCTTATATTTTTGGTTTTTGGCAGTCTTCTCCATTTCAGGGTTTTTATTCCTGGCATTTGTATTTGCTGAAAGGACTATTCCTGAGTTGTGCCTAATTTTTCCTTCTTCGTAGCTTTCTGTTCTTATTTATGGATTGCAATATAATTTTCAATCTCTCAGAGTAATTACAGTTGTTCAGAGTTTTTTTGTCCATTTTTGTCTTTTATGTCCAAATCAAATTTCTTTTCAAAAAAGCTTGAATTGTTTTTCTTCCTTTTGCATGGGATACTTTCCTGAAATGTGTGGTAATCCTTGCCTCCAGTCAAGAGGGGAAATTTCTCGGGGCGCCTGGGTGCCTCAGTCGTTAGGCGTCTGCCTTTGGCTCAGGTCATGATCCCAGGGTCCTGGGATTGAGCCCTGCATCGGGCTCCCTGCTCAGCAGGAAGCCTGCTTCTCCCTCTCCCACTCCCCCTGTTTCTGTTCCCTCTCTCGCTGTCTCTCTCTCTGTCAAATAAATAAATAAAATCTTTAAAAAAAAAAAGTTGAAATTCCTCAACTGGCAGACATTAGAGCCAGCCTTTTCACCAGAAGACTGCTAGGGAGCTCTCTTCTCTGCTCTTTAATTTAGAGCAGAAACTAGGTCCAGTCTCCTGAGTTACTGGTGTTTGGGGTTAGGAGAGGCCCACAGTTCTGGGTATGGTTTTTCACTCAGACTGCCTATGCCTCAATCCTGTCTTCATTTGTGCAGTTGCACATCCTTCCTGGGTCAGTTTATCCAGAGATCAAACCCCCTCTGCAGTGTATTTGATTACAGAAGAGAGGAAAAGTAAAGGGGGAGAACAACCAGTTTGTGCACAAATTTTCAACCAATCTGTTTCCAGGTCTATACCTCTCCAGCTTTATCATCTTTAGAGACTATAGAACTCAGCAACCAACAGGACCTAATTGACATTTATGAAACATTTGACCCAAAAGCAGCAGAAAACATATTCTTTTCAAATGTTCATGGAGCATATAATGAGATAT